TGAAGCTGTCCTTGCAGTCAGCCAATATATGCTATATTATGTGTTTTATGTTGAAAGAACAAAACAATAATCATAACAAACATTGACTAACTGTCTGTCCTCATTATATTGGGTATACAGTATCCTACTCAAGTAAAAGTCCACCTCTATGCTATCGTTTGCTCGCATTTTGAGCACCTCCTTCTTGCATCCGCGCGGAGAAGTCCAGGCTCAAGAAGGGCGTCGCCTGAGAGACAAATGTTTCGCATGGTTTCTGGATGTTTCTAGGGACTTTTCAGGGCAGGAACTTCTACACCTAAAGGGGACCCTTCGCAGTCCACTTAGCAGCATGCGTGGAAAACAAACTGCTCAGCTCAGAAAAGCACTACCTTGCTTTCTAGCCATGTGCAAGAAACTCTGGTACTGTCGTTGCGGCAGGACTTCATCCAATGGATAGTCTGATAGTCCAAGCCCAACCCTGCTCCGGGTCATGCTGTTATATCCCTTGTCAGTAGTGTGCCTATAGGAGACGCCTCAACATGATTCTCTAGCCACGTGTTCTCACCTTCTGTCCTCTTCCAGGTCTAAGATCTCAGTCTCAACACCCACACGGGCACTTTCAATCTAGCAGGACCAACCCCCCACTATGACCTGGCAGGACTCCCCACCCACTTGTTGAGCGTGAAGGTCTTCCGATTCAACTTCTGCGCCTCAGCCGAAGGTCAACCGGAATCCGGCTTGGAAGCTGTTGAAACAAGGCTCTCTCATGCATCACCAAGGACGTTGCTCAAATTCCCAACCGTTCCCCCACTTACGTTTCACAAGGTTCAATCACCAGCCAAGTCAACCAAGTCAAACAATGGAGGCATTTGCTATGGGAACCTGTCTTGTTTTCCCTCATGCTAAGCCTTAAGCAAACACTAAAATGCCGGTGGTCGGTGTGGATGTCGTTATCAGGTTATTGAAACAAGTGGTGTCAACAATGGTCAGCACGTTCAGCTCATAAGTCGCCTCCCAAGTTCCTCAACTCCAAAGTCCGACAGTCAACATCTCTTGGTGGAACCTCTCCAACGCCTCCCTGGGCATCCCCAACAATCACCTCGTCGAACAACAGCACCTCGGTGGAATCCTCTCTGGATCGGTCTAAGCGCCGACCTGATCGCCGGCGGCCAGGGACTGGGCACGTGATTCACCACGTGAAAGCACCAAGCATGAAGGTTGTGTCACTGGAACTGGGGGAGAGGGACCCTGAACCAAGAAGAGGTTTTTGGCCGGTTTTGCATCTGATGTCGCATGCCCTTTGCATCTGACGGCGAACGAACAAGGATGGCAGAACACCGAACCAAGAGGTCTTGGAGGGTTTGGGTCTATCTTGATCTATATTTGCTCTTCCAGGGAGTCTTTAGAGCCGTTTATGAGTGCAGAGAAGATATGCTCCAGGGACTGCCCCCGGGGAGACCAATCACGTCCGGCACCATTTTTTTAAGGACAGATGATCGGCCTCTTCGCTGCTATGATGGGGCTAAAAGAAAACAACGATTAGAGATGGGCAGTGTTACAACTGCTATATACTATATACACTGTTACACCATGTTACACCCTCAAAGATTAACATGGAACCTGAGAATGGACCTTTGGAAGACTATTTGCCTTTACTAACCCAGTGGCTTTGGGGTTCCATGTGGTCCTCTGCAGGGGAGTAACTGTTACTTGCATGTGGCGTTGAACAATCTCAAAGGAGGTCAACATCACCGTCACCCTCTTCGATACTGCTTGATCTTCAAGACTCTTCAAAGCTCCAGGCCTCTCCCAAGGAGGTTCAGTAGATCCCCCTCCGCACGGTCTCCGGGACACCGCGCTGATCCAGCTGGCCCACATTTGCGTCGAGGTCATCTCTTTCAAGAAGGGTCGTTCGGTGTCGGAGCATCGGGACAGGAAGCCCTGCTGATCAAAGCCTAGGGGCTCGGCGGGCGCTGTCGGCGTCGTGCTGTCTGCAGTTTGGCAGTGGGCACTAAGACCCCGCGGGAGAATAGTTGAGACAATGGTTTTGGATGGTGTTGAGACTGGTGGAAGTGACGCCTCACCAAGGGCAATCTCTGGCACACGCCTCTTACCGCTTTTTGGTACTCATGTGGCCTTTAGCATCCTGTAGATACCTACCAAGGACTCATTGGAGGATGTTGGTGGTTGCTTTGCGAACGGAAAGGCTGGATAGACTTGCACTGTTCACTGAGTTTAGGTCACCATATTCCAAGCTTGAATTATATATAAACTTGTTTCTGTGAGTGACTCCATCATTCTGAATTGCATACCCGTTTTGGATCACCAATAAATAGAATAGATACAAATAGCATCCTTTCCTGTCTCGCAAATAGACAGCAACAGATATATACAAATAGGTTTTTTGTTCCAAGTTTGCCCAGCCTTCCACTCCCCACCCTGCCTCCATCAAAGCGCTCGTTTGTGAAGCGGCTGTGCTCGATCAGGAGATCAGTCATGAACCTGGCAAGATGAGAAATGATGACAAAAACTGAAGTCCTTCACAACCCGTGTATGGAGGTTCTGCTCAAGTACACCGGAAGAGAAACCACCCTTGAACGATCTCTAGTGTCATGCTTTCAATGTCTAAGTTGGTCCAAGTTGCGGATACGTCAAGTTTCTCACATGCTATCCAAACTACTGGCGCGGCATCTTGATGAAATTTACTATGAAACTTGTTGGTCCAAGTGGCAAAGCCTGAGCCTTGATCTAGGGGAAATCTCTTCGCAACATGGGGTCGGATGTAAGACCTGTGCCGATCAAGTACCACACGTCCCAACCGCTGGAAACAAGCCAAGGTTGCCAAAGGAAGGCCATTCCTCAGAGCATCGGAACACATCACTATTGGAAAGTGGATGGCGCTGACCCGAGGAAGATGTTTTTATGTGTTGAACTCTTTGCCCCTTTTCCAACGGGTCTCACCGACCTGGGCTGAAGGGTGTCGACATTGCCCTCGTTCCCAGTTCTGAGAATTTGCCGCGCTGTGCCGACACTTATCAGGCCACATGTCCAACATCATGTTGGGGTGAGAATCAAACAAGGGCACGAAGCAAGTCACGAAGACAGGGCATGTTGAACTCATTCCACCGAAGACAGGTCCACACATCACCCCATCGCCACATCGCCATCCGACCGTCACGAGGCTTCAGGGGCATCGACAACACCAAACCGTTCGATGCGTGTGGAAGTTCAATGATTTTTTTTGGCGTGCCTATTCCCCAAACAGTGTGGGCACACTGAGGGGTTCTTACGGTAGTGGAAAGGCAGCTGATGCTTAGATCGCTGAAGCGCGCGGGCGTGTGCAGCTGATTCGCTGCTATTTACAGTGCATTCATGCCTCTCGACATCGTCCATGTGCATTTCGACTGCGCAGGCTCGCTGAATCTGGGTGTCCGCGGCGGGTGCTTCTAACGACTGCGCTCTCGTTGTGGTGCCGTGCACATTTTCGTACGTGGTGGCGACTTTTCGTGGCAGGGGCAAGGGAAACCTCGTGTTTTGGTGCTCCAAAGTCGACTTGTCGTGACAGGCGCAAGGGATCGGAGCTGTTTTACTTCGAAATGCAGTTTTCGTGGCAGGTGCAGCACTTCGGACATGTTGGTGATCCTCGAGGAGCTCAGATTTCGTGACAGGTGCGGTGAATCGTGACTTTTCGACATGTGGCTCATTTACAATTTTCGTGGCAGGCGCAGCACTCTGTGACCCTCGATGTGCAGATTTCGTGGCAGGTGCAGCACTTTGTGAACCTTGAAGTGCAGATTTCGTGACAGGTACAGCACTTTGTGAACCTCGAAGTGCAGATTTCGTGGCAGGCACAGGACTTTGTGAACCTCGAAGTGCAGATTTCGTGGCAGGCACAGCGCATGGTGAACCTCGAAGTGCAGATTTCGTGGCAGGCACGTGAACCTCGACGTGCAAATTTCGTAGCAGGCGCAGTACTTTGTGCTCTCAGATGCTCACTCTCTCACTCTCCCACTCGCACCCTCCCACTTTCACTCACACTCACACTCCCTCTCACACTCCCACTCTCACTCTCACTCACACTCGCAGCGCTCACACTCACTCACTCTCACTCACACTCATTCTCATCCACACTCACTCCCACTCACACTCACTCTCACTCACACTCGCACTCTCACACACTCACTCACTCACTCACTCACTCACTCTTCCACTCCCACTCACACTCCTCACTCCCACTCGCAGACTCTCACTCGCTCTCACTCACACTCGCACTCACACTCACACACACACTCACTCACTCACTCACTCACCCACTCTCACACTCACTCTCATTCTCACACACACTCGCACTCACTCACTCTCACCCAGACTCACTCGCACCCACCTTCACTCTCACTCACACTCACTCACACTCACGCTCACTCTCATTCACTCACTCTCACTCTCACTCTCACTCTCACTCCCACTCACTCTCCCACT